TCCTCTGATTGAAGCTCATTGAAGCTGCGCCAGTCGCCACTGACCTATGTAGAACGGTGCACGACGCAATTGCTGTCATTGAACTTGGACAAATTATGCCGATTATTCAACTGCTTTGCGCTTACTACATTCAATTATTCAAATTATTATGAATTTTGTTGTGCTTGTTTGTCACATTGCAGAACCGAAACGATTCCGGGCAATCCATCGTACAAGGCGACAATGCGGCTGACGATTACCAATGTGCAGAGCAGCGATTATGGCAACTACAAATGTGTCGCCAAAAATCCTCGTGGCGACATGGATGGCAACATAAAGCTCTACAGTAAGTATCCGCAACGTGTTATTTATACTTTTTAATATTGGCCCATAATACGCAGACCGAAGTGCGGCACAGCGCAGACATAAAGTGCGATAAATAACAAGTGTTGGCCCAAATGTGTGCGCACTTATTTTTTGGACACGGCACATTTCAAAACTACACCATTTGTGGCTTTAATTATGCCGGCCAAATGTGTGTACTTGATTGGATGGCGCCTGACAGGCGTGTGTGTAAATGTGCGCTAGATGAAATTCCAGCCAGATAATGTGGTCGTTAGTTTTAGATCTATATATGTGTGCATGCTAAAACAGCTAGATTATGGAAAAAACATTTAAATATTGTTAAAGAATTAAATTCAAGAGACCACTAAGGGTAACAAATAACAAAGGTATCTATAATCTAAGAGATATAAAAGGATCTACGGGACAATAGATTCTATTAGAGGTGTACTCATTCAATTCCTATACGTTTCCAGATACTTAAGCGCTTCATAGATACTTTTGACAGACACAGCCAGAAGTGGCTAAATCAACTCAGCTTTGTGACCTGTTAAAAACATTTGACAAACATTTGTGTGCCCTTTTGTATTGAAAATACATTTAAATATAGCCTTGCCGCACAATTGTTGAACTGGACAAATGGCTTTGTTTTAAAGTCGTGTTGCCTCGATTGTAAATAATTGTTAATCGATATGACAGTTTTGTCAAGTAATGTGAAAATAACATATATAGACAGCTAACACGGCGTATACGCGACAATTTTATGATTTTATTGTTACGTTGGACATGAGCCCAATAAAATGCCAATAATCTGTCAATTTGCTAAATCAGTCCCAGTTGGTGGGCCATTAAAGCAGCCGGCTGCAACATATATATATGGGTGTATCAGAAAGTACGTAACTCGCAATTCCGGTCACAAAAGTTCATAAAACAATATAAAATATCCGTTCGTTTCGTTCGTTGCGCGACAATAAAAAGAGGACGCCGGCAAAAGGCCATGGCCAATAGCGGCCAGAAATTGTCAGTGTGTAAATGCGACAAGTTAATTTATTTTTGGGCGCGCAGGCGATAAAAACGCAGCCAGCTTCGAGTCTGACGCGCCGCCAGCAGCAACAACAATGCCAACAAATGAGGGGGGGGGGGGGGGGGGGTGCTGGTGTTGGCAACGATCAACCAATTAAAGGTAACAAAGAACAGCCACAGCAGCTGATAATAAGAGGGCGGCAATAATGGCAACACACAATACAATGAGAACAATGAACCTGTGACAATGTCATTAAGTGGTCAGCATGGCTATGAAAGTTTGTAGCATCCTTTGGCAATGCGCCCGGCAAGGAGTCGTGGCAAGGGCTATCACCAAGTGCCCAGCCTCATAAATTTACTCAACAAATTGCCGTCAATAATGATATGGCACCAAAGAAGGAAAGAAATTGAAATCGAAAAGCGAACCAATGGCAGCTATTTACGACTGCTGAAAAGCTGTTTGGACTACGAGTCGAGCATAGAATTGGATAAATGAAAGTTACAAGCAAGTACTATTCAGATAAACGCCTGGTCTTCATTTGCTATTTATAGAAATACTTGAGCTTTAAGAAAATTTGAGAGAGCTAGTGTCTATATCTTAAATAATTCTGATAAATATGTTATAATTTAAGTACTTCAAGAATGAATGCATAAGACAACCTTTACATACAATTCATCTTATACATATATACTTGTTATATCTCACACGCCTGACACTTTGTTTTCTGATCTGATAGCTTACACTAATTTTACACATTTGTTACTTGCTTACAGTGTCCAGTCCGCCAACCACACAACCGCCGCCCACAACAACCACATTGCCGACAACAACAACAACAACGATTAACTTTCCCTATGATGGCAACACACCCTTCAATGGCTTCGGTGGGGATGTGCCGACGAATTCGGTGATTGTGATTGACAAATGTGAGTAGCAAAAGCTTTTGGCTGTACAGTTTTGTTTTATTGCAGCGGGACTTAATATTCCGTACTCTGATCTAAACTTACAGTGGGCATTAAGTACCAGTCGAATTTAAATGAGATCGGCAAATCCGAACAGAAGCTAATGGGTAGCAATCAGGAAGGCTATGACTGGTCAAAGGGCAAGGCCAGTGCTGGGCTAAGCGCGCGCTCTGTTTGTTGTTGGCTGCTGACGCTTCTCTCGCTGCTGGCAATGCATTCGCAACATTAAAACGTAAAGCAAACTGTATTTAAAAGTGCCATTAAAAAAAACCGGATAAATGAAAATTTAAAGAAATAACCAAAAGAACAAAACACAGCTAAGCTAAACTAACAACATGCAGCACACATTGCAACAAAAAAAAAATAGTTAATTAAGCAATTAGCCAAGTGCAATGCGGTTCAATTTCTGTCTGCCCTGCCCCAGACCATTTCCGAATCTAAATAGCCTGAAAACACAAACAGCTTGAGGCAGTAAATTGATCAATTGAACACATGCTCTTTCCTCTTACATTCGATTGCCTATTATATCAGATAATTCAATATCTATTTGCAACAATTTCATGTAATGTATGTAACATATGTGTGTATTCATTTCTCAACTTTAGTTTCATTTGGTTCGGTTTCATTAGGTGTAACTATTTAAATCTTGCTGTGCCAGCTTAAATTATCATCGTGTTATACTTTCCATAATTATTCCAGACGTTGTTCTATCAATAACTATTTTGACTTTACTCGAAAACTTTTTAATAGAAGCACCTTCGCAAGGTGTGGCAGGAAAGTGCACTAAAATTGTGTTGCCAATCAAATGATAAAATAAGCTAAAACATATGATTTATGTTTTATGGATTAATAACCATATAAACAAAATTAAAATATAACAAAAATAATAAACACGTTTGAATTGTTGACAAATTGTTAAAAAGAAAAAAAACACACTCACACACACACATGAAACTTAATGCGAAAATATAAAATGTAAATAATTAAACATACATAAACAATTGTAAATTATGTACTCGTTATAAGCATTGCATGAACTGCGCTTCGATTTGTATGGACTATATAGACAGCACTCGGATTGTCAAGACCTACAGATAACCATACTCTTAACCATAAACCCCCCAAAAGAACGGGCCAAGGAGAGGCCCGCCCAATGGAATGGCATTAATCAAAACGATGGAAAATCTAAGATGACTTGCAGGCAGCGCAATGAAGTTAATAAATGATCAAGTCATTTCCAAGGAAATTAAACATATTTATATATATCCTTAACTATGCTCACATATTCAAATGACAGCCTAATTAAGAACTAAACTAAATATATATATACATTCATAAATATATCATAGGCTTTAGTTTGTGTTTTTAATTGATAAGAGTGATAATGTACATTTAAAGAAATTTAATCCGCATTAAGCAACTGGAGACATCGGCATAGTCAACATTATGAGATTGCTTTAAATTCAAAAACGAATATAAATAAAAAATATTAATATAATTTATTTAGAGATTATTTTACTTACAAATGTTGCTATCAGTTTCAGTTATTCTCACCTTAAGATTGTTTTCAGCACAGTAAGTACAAAACACAACTTTCCTTTTAACTGCATCGAGCTGAATTTACTTTATTGAAATTGAAATACTTTTGGCCAGTCGGAGACGCTGATCAGCGGGGGGCAAGTAAAACCAACCCTCTAAAATAAATTTAGTTGATTTTATATTTACATTTTTATAAAAGCAATTTAATCAACATTTTGAATAAATAAATACATATATTTCTTTTAAAACAAAATAGATTTAACTATGTCAAGCTCCTGCAAATTTCGAGGAGTTCGGTGTACAAAGAATCGCATGATCCAGCGTGCCATCCCAGCGGTTAACGAGATATTAGAGATTTCGCAGCTCACCCATATGCGCTTGCTTGTTTGCAATTGATATTTAAAATTTAACGGTCGCCAAAATTCCATTCGGCATGTCGGTTGGGTCCAAAATTTGACCAAAATTCAGCTGAATTACCAGGCGAACATCAATCGTCAGTAGGTAGCTAAAAGTCGGAGACAGCGCAATTAACACAGATTGTGCGCCGGCGCGCCATTGGTCACATATATGTATAATGCGCGGTGTAATAACTGTAATTATCCTTTTGTTTTGGTTCCTATAGTGATGCCAAGACACGACAGTGATGCGTTGGATTTGGCGGAATTTTACCAAATATGGCTAAAACTAGCTAATTATTTTTATTGATGGCTGAAAATTTAAATACTTTCACGAGTCCAAAATAATCATCTGCCCAAAATCATTCTCAATTAACATAATTGCTGTTATCCATCAAAATAAATAGCTAGTTTTAGCCATTTTTAGTTAAATTCCGCCAAATCCAACGCATCACTGGCGTGTCTTGGCATCACTATAGGAACCAAAACAAATGATAGTTACAGTTATTACACCGCGCATCATACATATATGTGGCCAATGGCGCGCCGGCGCACAATCTGTTTTAGTTGCGCTGTCTCCGGCTTTTGGCTACCTACTGACGATTGATGTTCGCCTGGTAATTCAGCTGAATTTTGGTCAAATTTTGGACCCAACCGACATGCCGAATGGAATTTTGGCGACCGTTAAATTTTAAATATCAATTGCAAACAAGCAAGCGCATATGGGTGAAGATGCGATATATTTATATTTGTTGCTGTTTATGAAAATGGTTATGCCTAACTCTTTTTTTTCTGTTTGTGCGCAAGGTATAATATACATACGTACACATATACATACATACATTTATAATCAAAGAGTTATGTTTATTTATATTCATTATTATTGCTATGCTAAGGTGTTTTGAATCCAATTAACCTGAGTAGGAGCAGGGACATTTTGGTCGCACCATTATTTGCAGCACTTTGTATGAATACTCCGTGCCTAGCCACGTAATCCAAAACATACCTTTTGCAAATAATTTACTGTGGTATTTGCCACCCAAATAGAGTCCGAATAGATTGCTTAAAGCATAATCGAAGTTAAAATACACTATATGTTAGTTAAGAGATGTTTGATAGACTCACCTGTCGGTACAATCAGCATACCACCAAGCACCCATACGTTCAATGGCACAGTTTTCGGAATTAGCATCGTTGTCATTGTCATGTGTGGAGAATTTCTTTTTGGCGTGACGTGTTAAAGAATCGCCCGCATCTCCGGAATAGCTGCCCAATTTTTTGATAGCATATTTTTCACTTTCTGTACCAATTAAAAATTCATCATAACGTGCATAACGCCTATTGCCCGAGAAGTCCTCAAAGTAGATGTAGAGTTCGTGCGGCTGTGAGGCAGTTATGGCGTGTAGTTTATCCAGACCAATAAAGAATTCATTGGTCAGATTGCCGAAACCTTGCTTATATTGCCGCCAGTTGCGAAAGAAGTTTAGATCGCCGACAGTTCGGGATGCAATCACCGTCCAGCCCGGACCGGCTAGATTTGTATTACACAGCACTTGAAAGGGTGGCAGACCCGTAACATTGGCCGTATGAATGCCATGTGCATTCCTATATGGTGGGCATGACGAACGCAAACTATTCAAAGTGTGAGTCGCGTTGGTATCTATAAGCTTCCTAATAATATCCGTCGCCGTTAAGTGTTTCAGCTCACTAGAATTGTTATCATAATTGGACTGTATATACTCATCGACCATTCCGTACAGCTCATTTAGTTCCTCTTTTAATCTGTCAATTGAAAGGGGAAATACATTTGTATTGAATTATATACATACACATTTATACTTTATTTATACTAAAAACTATACCTGAAAATATCTGAATGAGCGGCGCTGCCAACAACAACTTCTGCAGCACTTTTGGATTCATCTTCCGGAATTTCATATGATGTAGATCCGTACTGAAACATATATATTTTAATTATCTGCACAAAACGAAATAATTTAAATTACATTAAATGGTCGTCGGACCGAAACACCAAGACAATCCTGTGAAAAATAGCACACGAGGCCCAAGCTAATCCAGAAGAACTTCATCGCAGCGCAACTTCTCCTTAACTGATGAATAATTTCTGAGCGTTGCGTTTAAATAGATTGTTCGATCGTGTTCGCCAAAAGTCTTGTCTATATTTGATAAGAATAAGTTAAATACAGTACCCCTGCTATAAACCATACATATGCATTCATATCAATTTATACAATTAAGAGATACCCTGTCTGAATAATAAGCATAGTTATATTAATAACAATCGCATTTCGATAGACAACTAAGACTGACTGATCCATATTTAAAAGCATGCCACAGTTTTATAGTCCGTCGATATTTGATTTTATTTGATTTCATGTTTGTGCTGCACTTTGGGTACTAGAACGTGAAATTGTTATTGAGTCCGGGGGCGTTACCCACTTGGCTGCCAACTGCACATTGCACATCAGCAAATGCTTACAGCTGGCGGAGGACATTGTTGCTGCATAGCTAAGCTCTTCAAAAGTCTTGTTTGTTGCCCGCAAAAACCCCAAGCAAATATTTTGCCAAGCGGCGGCAAGAGCAACGTGATGCTACTTGTACTACGTGGCGTATGCCCAATGCAAACACAAAAGAGCCCTCGTCCGTCCAGAGGGGCGGGCGGCAAATGTGCTAAAGACGCTGATGATGCATTCAGCATTTTACTTGACAACTAAAGCTGAATTGGCCAATTCAACTGCAGGTTGTAGCACTTTCAATGGCAACACTTTGGCTGGTCAACAAAACCAGCTACAGATTCAATACATACTTTGATTTAAAAATTAATGCGAAAATAATGAACAAAAATTCAGTAAGCCCGAAGGTTATCATTAAACACTGATTTAGCACTTCGTACAAAGAAGCGATTCTCAGAATTTGCACACACAAATAACATATTAAAATTCAATTATCATTTCACATAGTTAGTGGCTGCTTAATAATTAGAATTCCCATTTTTCAATTTGTCATAATTACAAATTATTTCGACTTAGCTTTTATTTCAAAAGTTTTGAAAGATAAAAAATATGAAATGCTTGATATTAGTTTAAATTCTAGAAAAATTGCCAGTGCCAGGAGTTTATAAACAATTGTTAGCTTAATTATTTGATATATGTATATATATTTTACAGGTTCTTCCTATTTTGAAAGTTATTTGCGTGGCCATTTTTAATCATGCATAAAGCTGTTAATAAATGAAGCTCAAATTAACGATGAACTCTGGCATGTGTTAACTTTTAAAAAAGTTGATTAGCATTGAAATATTTGTAACATTATATGTTTTGTGCTTATATGCTACCAAATTAAAATAATTATTGTTGATTGGAAGTTGTTAGGATTAAACCGCTACGGCGCGTTGGTCCAGCAGCGTGTCGATGATCTTCTCGATGTGCTCACTGCAACTGCCCAGACAGGTGTCCGCGTACTCGATAAGAAACTGCATGAAACTCTCCAGCTCCTCCATGGAACAGGCGCGGAATCCACTGCTGCGGGCGATATTTTCAATGGTGCGCAGCTTGTGGGCATATTCGGGCTTGCTGCGGCAATGCTTCAGCGTGGCCTCGGTTAGTTTTGAAGGCAGCTCGTAGTTGCGTATACGCTGCTCGACGCTTTTAAGCTTGGTTTGCTGCTGCTGCAGGATGCGCAGCATTTGTGGCATGCTCATGGGTTTCGAACGGACGACGGGCAATGTTTTGTCGAAGAGCTCATCCAGCGGCACAGCCTCATAGTCCTGGCTAAACAGGTCCGGCGAGAACGAGAGTCGACCGCTGTTATTGCTGAAGCTGTCCGATTCAAATTCGGTCTGGTCCAGATCGCTAGTCTTGATGGCAGTGTTGGAGCTGTTGTAGTGGTTACTGGGCCAAGCGTACTTGCTGCGTCCCTCCAGTCCGTTGCTGTTGCCCGTCTGCAGACCCACCAGCATGCTGTAGCTGCTCTCAATGGAGAACTTGGGTATTGTGTGCCAGAACTCGGGCACGCAGCTGAACTCAAAATGATCGACGCCAAAGCGTAGCTCGCAATCAGGACTAGTGCTCAGTTCCGTGTCGAGGAAATGAAACAGACGTTCAATCTTCTCGCTAGGCATGTGCTTGCCGCTAAAGGGCACGGCCAGATCGCCGCTGGCGAACCAATAATGCGAGAAGCCCTTGACGCTGGGCGGTCGCTCCGGCAGCTCCTTGGTCTTGGCCTCTTGCTGGCCAGCAGTTGACCTGCAAAACTTGTGTCCATCAATGCCGAAAGTCAGCTCACGTGTTTCCCAGGTTTTTTGGGTGAAGATCTCATAGAGCAGACGCAGTCGCTCCGGCGTATTGTGCACAATATCCAATGCGACCGTAAAATCTCCGGCGCTAATCCAAAACTTGGAGTGCGGCTTGCTTGGCGGCAGCTCCTCCAGCTGCGATGAGCTCATTTCGACAGTGGGTGCATTGGCAAAGAACTCGCGCTCACTACATGTCGGCGTTGTTGGCGCATCGGACGAGCTAGCCAGATCCAATGGATGATCCTCTCGTATCACTTGCATAGCCAAGGAGCTGCGACGCGACTTGTCCAGCGGCTGCCCAGTTGCACCAATGGGACTGAAGAGCTGCTGATGCGCGGCACTCGAATAGTTGTGTGCCTTTACCGGCGTGGAAAAGCCCGAGGGCTTTGTTTGGGCCATGCCCAGTGAGGAACGACGCAACGGACTGTTATCCATGGCATCATTGGAGCACGTCTCAAAGCCCTGATCTATAAAACTGTCGCGAAGCTGCTGATCCAACGATTGGCGCGGCGTCTGCGAAGGCGACTGATCGCTGTCCGCATTGGGCGATGGCGAAGACATCACCGTCAAGGTATAAGCGGACTTGATCTTTCTGGGCGAGTTCACCTGACGCATCAACGACTTGTCCAGCTCAATGTAGCTCTGCTCCGGCACTGGCGGCGGTGCAGCAGCTTGGGCTGGTGCTGTTACTGGTGCTGATGCTGCACTTGATGGCTTCTTCTTGGCTTGCAGTGCCGCTGGCTTGTAGTCGGAGTCAGAGTCGGTGCTGGTCACAGCATTGGCAGTGGCTTCTACAATGGAGTTCTCCTTCTTCCAGGTGAGCGTGCGGCGCATTTTCTTCTTACGCGGCGGCCGTACGGGCTTCGCAAAGTCAAAGTCTGGAGCTTCTTCTGGTGTTGCTGGCATTTCTGGCTGGGATTCATCGCTGGTTATCTGTGCAAGCAATGGAAATAAATTCAAATTTACGATTAAGATTTTAGAGCAATTGATAGGCAAGAATAAAACTAATCATGTGAGATGTTTAACAGAGGCAGACTTTTTGTTGGAATGCAAATCGAATTCGATTGAAAATATCAAAAACAATATTTTTCAACGCATAAAATTCTCGCTATCTGCTTTCAGTTACAAAACTCACCTTTGGTAGTGTAGACAATCCAGACTCACTTTCCTCAGCATCTGATTGCTTGCAACTCGAGGAGCTGCTCGATGTTATGCAGGTGGATTGCGTCTGGCCCAGACTTGGACGGGGCGCAGGTACAGGCGGCGCCTGGCGTTTGATTTTGCGCGGCGTGGGCGTGACGGCCATGGCCGTGTCTACGTCCTTTTCGTCCACATGGCTCGATTCCTTAGTTTTGCTCTCCAGCTCCAGTTTGGCAATAGCCTCCTCAAGCAAACGTTCCACGGCAGACTTCTGACTCATGTCGCCAATGGAGCTGTGGGCTGTGATCTGGGCCGGCTGCTCGTCGCTGCTGGCAATCTCAATCGTCTGATCGCTGTTGCATACGCTGGTTATGTCGAAGAGCACGCCATTCTCGGCGGTTAGCCAGCTGTAGAAAAGACTCTCGAGCGGTTCGTTTTGAAAAAACGGAAGACTATCATTCCCGGCGCGCTCCTGACGTGTGCGTCGTATCTTCTTGGGCGGCGCATACGCCTCCGTGGGCAGCACGCTGCGTATGGCTGACAAATTGCGCTTCTGCGGGGCGCACTGCTCACGCTCGTGCAATAGACGACCACCCGGCATGGCAATCACATGTCGCTCCGGACTGGGCTTGATCACCACAGTCAGTGTGCTCACATGCAGCGAAGGTGATGGTGACTTGGCCGGCGTTGTTCCCAGCCGTGCTGGCGTGGACTCCAGCACGCATTTGGCCTCCAGTTCCTGGGTCAGGTGCTTGACGCTGGCCTGCTGCTCGGCCACCACCTCGCCGCGTGCCATTTGCTTTTTGACCTGTGCTTTAAGATCGGCCGCATGCTCATTAAATTTGGGATGCTTGGCGGCAATGTCGCTGACAAACTTATTGAAGAGCAACACCTTATCCCTGACGCTCAGCTCTCGGAACACATCCTCGGCCACCAGGCAGGGCCCTTGAACAACAGACTCCTGCTGTTCGTGCTGCTGATGCTGATGCTGTAAATGCTCCTGCTGTTGCTGCAGATGCTGCTGCAGTTGCTGCTGCAGATGCTGATGGTGCTGCGGTCTGGGCTGTGGCTTGGGCTCCGGTGAGAGTGATAGCTCATTGTGCAGCGTGGCGTATTGCGGCGGCTCGGCACGCCGCATTACCTGGTTGATCTTTGAGTTGAATAATTGGGCTATCTCCTTGACCTTCATGGGCAGCTTGCCACTGGTCTTGTTGTTGGCGCCACGTACCGCCTGTGGTGTTGCCAGTTGCGGCTGTTCGTATTTCTGTTTCAACTCGTTGATCTTCTGCTTGCAACTGTCCACTTTCTGTTTGGGCAGCGGCACGGGTTGGCTGGCCAGTTTGGCAATGGCGCTGGCCACTTTGCCCGAGCAGGGAGCACTCGTTGTGATGACATCTTTGCTAGGCGTTACGGGCACCTCTTCATCAAAGTACTTCATGAGGTTCTCAATGCTGGACAAGTCCAGGTCGGTGACTTGTATGCGGGTGGGTGTCACGTAAGAGTTTTGGTGCTCCAAGGCGGTCAGAAAGCGATCATCGTCCAGTGAGGAGACCTCAAACAGCTCCTCGCGCGTCATTGTGGCACGCAGCAGTCCACGCCCATCGCTGACATCACAGTAGGCGTGGCGTGACCGTCGCTCCTCAATCTCTGCATTCAGTTGAAGCAGCTCGCTCAGATCGGCGCTGTTCATGGTCGCCGTGTCCATGACCAGCTCGTTTTGCTTGTGATTATTGTTGGGTGTGGAATTGCTTAGCACCATATTGAAGTATTTTTTTCTTTTATTTTAGTTTTTTTTTTTTTTGTGGTTTGCGTTGTTCACGTTAGACGTTGCAGTTTGTAACTGTGAGCGGTGTCGCTAGCGCGGAGCCTTTTAACCGGCCACAGGTAAGCGGCATGCAAATTTTATTACACCCGCTAATCCGGTCTGCATCAGGTATTCTAATCGAGGCACAGCTGTAGCTTTGGGTTTTTACTAGATTTAATTAGCGGCGCGTACCTTCCAGGAAGCCTCTAATACGCTGACCTGTGGATGGCTGTGAAAAAGGTAACAGGTAAGTGGAATATCATCTAGAAGTGTCCATCGACAATACGTTTATCAAGGCGCTCGTTGACTTGTCACATGAGCACGGCACTTTGGGCTACGTTTAAATGATGATAATAGAAAGTACAGTAATTTAAGGATGAACAAAGATGTTGCCAGTTTATGAGGGTCTTAGGGACGAAATTATGACATGCATTGCGACAGTTACAAAAGCAGGTATCCGATCCTTGACAAGAATTATTATGGTTGCCACACATCAAAATATGATCAAAGTTAAGTTCTATGCGTAAAAGAAGTCTTCAGTGGGAAGATACAGTAGATTTGGGTAAAGAAGTCTCAGGAGGTTGACCAACTACTTTGCGTATTTAAGTATAAAAAAATTTTAGAGAAAATATTTGGTATACCACATGTGCCCAAAAGTATGCAACGAACTGCTTTATGCCAGTGCCAAAGAGGT